CAATCTTTGGCTATGTCTTGGGCTACTCAAATATTTTACGTTTTTGATACTAAATTAACATCTGAAGTATAATTTTTTATTGTTTTTATATTTTTCAATATATTTATTTTGTTTGTACAAAATAAAAAAATAATTTTTAACAATACAATAGTCTTTGTTAGGCTTAACATCAACGAAAATTCAACGCGAAGCGACACGCAATGGAGAAAAATTTCAACATCGGATACATTAAACTATTTCTTCGTACATAAATCGGTTATCCGAAATATCAGTTATACGAACAACCCCAGTCCCCAATTGATTCGGAAAATCGACACTCTACTGTACTTGCAATAAAAAGCACTGATAACGCCAAACTCGGTGAACTCTCTGTCTTGCTAAACAAATGTTTTCTTTCCAAGGGATTAAACATCAAATTCACCTTACTTCAAATATTTCAATGATGTTTTGGTCCATTATACCTTGGATTATGGACTATGTACTGTACTTAAACTTGCAAATAATAAATATCAATATTAATAACAGAAAACAATTTTCAAATTTTGTTTTTAGTTATATTTTGCTTATTAAATCAATTTAGTCAACAATGTTTAGTTTTTAATGCCTTAAAATAATATGTTTTACTATTATTTTTTAAATGAAGTAATTGTCATTTTTTACAGGGTTACTTTAATATTAATTGAATATTTACTTAGCATTTTATTATTTTATGATTTTATAGTACTAATTGGTGAAAGTAATTAATACAAAATGCATAACAACAGTAATTTGCAATGTAGTAATTTTATATTTTTTAGCAAATAAACATTTATGTTTATTCATCAATTTATTTAACCTTACACTTGGATGAATTTTAATTATTTGTAGTCATCATTCATGTTTATTAAATCTTTTCAAATTTAATATAATTTTTAGTGTCTAGACATAGTTCAAGCAAGAATAGAAGCTGCCAATGGAAATGCTTTAGAGAAAAACAATTGTTGGTTTGATACTTTAAAGATCTTAGAAAACCAAAAAGAATTATCTCAAGAAGAAAAAATTTTGGTACAAAACAATTTTTTTTAACTTAGATTTTCATTGGAATTTTTGTTTACTCAAATATATTTTTAAAATAAACTATTGATAGTTACGAAGATGTTACAATGAATTAATCCAAAGTGAAAGTGTGGAGAGAAAAGAATTAAATTTGGATGTTTTTAAAAATTATCTCCAGCTTTTGAGAAAGGTAATTTTATTCTTTAATAAATTATTAATAGTATATAGTGATGATGATAATAATAATAATAATACATCTGTCATGTTTTGAAACCGTGTCGTATTTTTCATATTTGTTCTATAAGCGCAATGTAGCACAAAAATTGAAATAAAGAAGTGAATCATGCCAAGTGATCATTATTACGCTACATTGCACTTATAGAACAAATAATAATACAATTATGTACAGTACATAAAAAAACTATATAACTTCCTAAAAACATTTAATAAAAGCTAATTAAATTTAATAATTTTATATTTATATAAACTAGGAGATTTGTATATAGATGTTCTCTATTTAATGTGAGAAATGCTTGCTGTTAAAGAGCATATTGTTCAAATTTCTGTTAAATAGGAGAAAAACACTGTTTTCACAAAATCTGCTTATCAGTTTTTAATTCTATGTTTCTATTTATTACACTAAATAATGATATCCTTGTTTAAAAAATAATACAGTTTTATTATTCATATATTAAAAATATTTAATAATATTCACAAGTTTCCAGAACATGTTTTTGAATTCTGCCACACCAGGGCATATGTAGGACAGATAAATAGAGAAACATATATACATTGTAAAAGAAAATATGCTCTTTAACAATGCCAAACTTAAATTAAGAATAAACAAAACAGCATTAAAATTGTTTACTTGAAAAGATTTAAGTACTTTTGACATTACAAAATGTCAAAAGTACTTGTTTGAATTTTGAAATTGAATGGCACATTACTTCAGAATTGTTTTAATATAAAATTTTTGGCACTGAAAGATAATGTATGTTCCTTTATTTACAAATTTTTTATCTGGATTGCCAAATACATTTAGTTTAACATAGGACAGATATATCATTGCAATAAGTTTTCTACAATTGAAAAATTTAAAGTAGTTTTTTTATCTGTCTCTGCTTCATTTGTGAAATTTGTTTATAAGGGTTTATTATAACTTTTTCTTTTTACAGCCTTGTGAAAAATCATCATCATCATATTCTAAAATATTTGTGCATTTATTATAGGGTAATAAAAATTTTTTAAACTAATATTTGACACATTTTGTGGTTTATTGTCTTCTTGCTTAATTGGTAAAATGGAATGAAAATGTTTTGGTCATACTCAGAGCTAGTTGTCTCAAAACAAAAAATTTTCTCGGTACCTATGTTGCAGGAAGCAAATTGTGATTAGCAGTCATTGTCGGCCACATTGTAGTAAATTTTCATGAAATACATTTGTACTAAATGAAGGATGTCTGTATTTATAATGAAATGCTTAGCTATCAAGATTAATGGTCTTAATTAAAAAATTAATAGTATTTTGTTAGCAAATTCTTATCTATTTGAGACATAAAAAATTAGTAATTTAATCAATTTTGAGAAATAAAGTGCAGTCGATCCCCCCTATAATGCGGGTTCATATAATGCGGATTCGTATATCGTGCCAAAAAAATTGTGATCGTATTTGTATAAAGACGCTGAAAGAGACTTGTAAAATGCAGTAAAACATCATCACTGACTCGTGTCGCAACAGGATTGGTCGAATCTGGACCAATAGTGGACGAGCATCTGAATTACTTACACGCTACGGAGAGTTTAGGCGGGTAAGTTGAGTTTACTATCAGCTGTACAGTATATAAATTAGGTACCGTAAATTTAACACAGTACTGTAATTTTGTCCCGGATATAGAATCTCTCATCAAAGGCCTTCCGGACAGAACGAAAGAATACTACCGATGGATGGCGGTAAACAGAATTTCAAGAGCTAAAACACCTTCTGGAACAACGGTTGTAAGAACGAACTTGCTACGTGCCCGTAGATGGATGAATAGAAATGGGATCACACTCGTCAGGGCTGACAAGGCCAAAACTATGGTGGTCATGAAGCAGGAAACGTATGATCGTCTATTATTCGAGTACATCAACATTACAAACTGTGAAGAGGTGAGCAACAATACAGTGGAGAAATTACACGCGAAGGTTAAGAAATTCAATAATAGTAAGTTAGCGAAGAGATTGGAATTTAAGAAAGTTGTAATGGACACACCCGATACACCTAAACTTTTCGGATTCGCGAAAACGCACAAGTCGGGACAACAGATTCGCCCAGTGGTGGATAAAAATAGAGCACCAACCCAACAATTAGAAAAGCTGACGCACTCGTTGATTTCTCCATACTTGCATGACTACCCCTATACAGTAAACAGCAGTGAACAACTCCTAGCATACCTCAAGCAGGTGGACAATCCTCCACGATTTCTTACTGTATTCGATTTTAAGTCCCTATACCCATCAATTCTTCTTCCTCCAACATTTTGTGCCCTGAGGGATCTCTTATTCAGAATAGTTAATGACGCTAACCTACAACAACAAATCTTAGAGATGACGCACCTGTTATGTTACAACTCGTTATTTCAATTCAGAGGCAAAACGTACATGCAATCCAGGGGCGTACCGATGGGGAGCCCCATTGCAGGGGACTTATGTGAGTTGGTGATACGTCAATTAGAAGAAAGAGTCCTCCCACTCCATATCTCTAACATCATATTATATAGGAGGTATATTGATGATATCCTCATTCTATGGAAGGTTAAGCCTGACATATCAGCTTTCTTGGAATTGGTTAATGACAACAGATACGGCTTAACTCTAGAGCTGGACCAAGCACACGACAGGCAAGTGCATTTTCTGGATATTAGCATTAAGGTGGATGGAAAGAGGATCCACACAGAGGTATACAGGAAACCTATTGCAGAACCGCTATACATACCAACAATATCGTGTGATCCTTACCATTATAAAATAGCAGCATTCAACACATTAATTAAGCGAGCGTATACTCATTCATCCACCAAGGCTGCTGTAGAATCTGAACATAGAACCATAGCTAACATAGCGAAACGCCATGGTTATTACAACCTTATGAATAAATTATCCAAGAAACTACGCCATCCGCAAGTATCCGCAAGAGACGCAGGGCAGGAAGATGACAGACCAGAGCATAAAGACAGAGTTCCGGTCACTTACAACCCGTGGTTACAGAAACTCTACTCAGAGATTGCGAAAAAGAAAAACATCAATATCACATACAGGAGATGTCCCACGGTCTTTAATATACTCCGTAATGCTAAAGATCCTCCCAACAATCACATGCTTTCGGGAGTATATACCATCCCATTAAAGGATCATCGATGTGATGAACAGCTATTATACATTGGATCCACTAAACGCTCGTTATCTGTCAGATTAAAAGAACACATCGCAGACATACAGCATGGAAGAATAACCACGGCACTCGCTCGTTATGCCACAGATCCAGATATCGAACCTAAGTTTAGTGAGGCTAGAATCATTCACACCACACCACATACGGAACATCTAAGATGGATAGAGGCAATGTCTATATATAAAGCGGCCCGAAACAACAGGTGCATTAATAATAAGGAGGAATTATCTCTATCCCTAGCGTGGGAAATGCTTATACAGGACAAAGAAAATATTCTATAAAAAGAAAAATGTTTACATCGGTAAAATACGCATGCGTATTGATGACGACAGCGGCAGAATTCATCGTATTAGTTGATCGTTTCTCATTCAAATTTGGATTCCATCGAATGTTGTTTGAGTATTTAAGTTTTTTCACCTGAAGAAGAACCTAAGTGGGTTCGAAAACGTTTGTGGGAACTTTTTAACCGGATTTTTGTATTTAATTTCGCACCGTAAAGGTTTGTGGTTGATTAATTTTGCGTTAACACGGTGTTGTGGACAAGTTTACTATAATTTTATACATTTCTTGTGAAAAAACATTTCTTATTCAACGGCCATAAAAATTATTTCTGTTAATGATGTCTCCAAAGTTCAATGAATTTTTTGCATTAAAATAACTTATCAGAAAATGCGCCCACCGTTTGGTGTGCCGCTACGAGACGAGAACAAGCTTAAGCAATGGCGTCGTCGAATGGTGCACACTCGGTAAATAATCCTACAATTTTTTGTTTGTAGCATAGTTTATACGGATTATTCCCAAAAAATTATATGTGTTTTGGAAATGTTGAGTCAAATTAGTTTAGAATCGATTAATTTTATGGAAGAAAACCTTTCAAACAGCCGTAGTCCGTAAACTGCACACGTGTCGGGCTATGATTGGCTCATGTATTTAAGGATTCCTACAACGTGAAATTCTTATAAAGTGGAATGTATCTACCACGTTATAAGGGGGTTGACTGTACTCTAATTAATTAATAAAGTTAAATTGTACTCTATGTTAATAAAGTTAAATTTTGAAATTAATGTATTTTTTAATTTACAGGAAAATGAATATGACAAAATAGTTTCAGTTTTAAAAACATATATGAAAAATTATTCTGAATCAGATCAAGTATTAGAACATTATTGTGTTACAGCAGTAGAAATGTTTATAGGTAAGTTTTAAGTGTATAATATTAAAGATTCATGTTCTTTAATTTTGAATTAGATTTAAGTTAAAAATAAAAAAATATTTAAGCAAATTTAATTTTTAACCTTGTATGTTTGATTTTGGTTGAATTCATTTCCAAATTTTGACTTAGCTAATACAGACATTTGTCATATTTGTTTGGCTTCGGTCTTTCCAAGTTACTTTTGAAGAAAGTTTAAATATATCTTTTAGAGGAGGAAGATATGCCAATATTTATTTTTTGAAATGCATGATATAATTTGCTTCATGACATTGTTTATTTTCAACTAAATTCAAACAACACCTTAACATTGAGGTAGTTAAATCACTTTACTAAACATTTTTCAGCTCTACTGATGAGCCCTCATCAGATAAATAGTGTTTGAATTTAGAATAACTTAACATCAAACATTTCTTCAAAAATTTTTTTAATGGAATTAACATCAAGAAAAAGAACAAGAATATAGTTAATAAATTTTTAACAAATTTTTACAATAAATTAAAAATTTTAATTATTGTAATAACAATAAATTATCGCAAAAAAATGTTTTTATGCAATAATATAACTAGGTAATAGACATAGACATATATTTTATTCAGCATGCTACATACAGCATAACTGGGTGCCACAAAGGTATAACCAAGTAATGTACAAGACAAAATTACAATTAAATACATGTTCAATTATTAAATGATAATATATAAGATAGTATAAAATAGAATTAGTTACAAGACATTTACATATAACAGTTACATATAATAATAGGATAAGATAATTAATAAACAAATGAAAATACAATTCACTTACTAAATTCAAATACAAATAATTGCATATAATTACATATGGCAGTTACATATATTAATAAGATGAAAAATTAGATAGGCTAATAAAATACAAAGTCAAGTACCAATGATCATGTACAGATAGTCAAATACGAAGACAATATACTGATACAGATACAAATATTTTAGACAATAAGGGTTGTCGAGCCTCCTGACATGGAAGAGGTGAGATTGGTCACTGGGAAAGCAGATTGGTGGGCACAACAAACAGAACAGGAAAACTGTTGGGATTATGTCGTGTAATCATATTGATGCTGTCTGTCAGTTTTAATGTGCAAGTATACAGGACAATCTTTACTCATAGAGTTGTGATCAGTCTTTGAATGTTTACTCTTTTTACAATTGGTGCAAACTGGGGTCTCTCCCTATTTGAGGCATGCCTTAAGAAGGTGGGCCCCCCACAGTGGCTACAGGTATACTCTGAGGACGCACAATCGCTGGCATAATGACTGAAGGAAAGGCATTTATAACATTGGACAACAGGGATATAATTGTATACTGGGCAATGTTTCCATTCAATGTTAATCCTCTTTTCTTTTAGCATGATGCGCCTTAGATCAGGAGCAAGCTACAAGAGCCACGATGCACAGTCGTCATCTCTCTGTCATGTAGCAAACCTTATGGTCGCCTTCTGAAAAAATTCCTCTTGAGTATAGGCATACACTAGGGATATATTCTGGTTGTAGATGTAATGTAATAAGTTTTCCTTAGTTATACACTTCGGGATTGACGCAATTTTTATGAGAGGCTTCCTCTTATTTGCAACTTTAGAGTTCAGACCAGGCACTTTGATGACGACTTCTTCGAAATGCTGTGCATCCTCCAAATAGGATATCAACTGCCACCCCTCCAGCCTTTATTTTCTTTATGCGCTTAATGCCTACACCCAGTTCCTGCAGCATTACACTTTTTGTTAGCAACTCTCTGGTTTCTTCTGATGTTTTCTCATGTTTGTCACTATATACCGAGACAGTATGAATGAATGAAGGAGGTTGCTTAGAATCAATGCCTATTTTATAACATGTTACTGTAGCTAGGGGTTAGATCCACTTTTCAGCACGGGAGCAGGAGGAACAGACTTGTCTAAGTTAGTTACAGCCTCTTTTATTCCTAAAATTGCTTCCAAGGTTTTCTCATTTTGTGTTGAAATTGTCTCTAGTAATTCCTCTTTTGAGATTAACGCATTAAATTTCTGTTCTACTCTATCGGGAAGACTATTTTTTAAGGGCCCATTCCACTAGGTTAATAATCTTATTAATCTGATCTGTAACATACCTAATATGCTGGTTTGTTCCAAGTTTAGCATTAGGATTATCTGCAAAGTACCCCTTTACTTCATCAATTACAGTGTGGGCCGCCACTAAAAAGTTATCAATAATATTAGATTCCATACTGCCCCATGGAGATCCGAACCTGGCTGAAGGAAATAAGAACTACTAAATTGGACTGATGCACTAGTCAAAAGAGCTAATTGCACACTGAACTGCAAAGGTGGCTGACCAACCAAGGGTGACTGATTCAATGATGTGTCATGAATTTAAAGTACAGGGACTTATCCAGGGATTCCTGTCCAGTAATATGAAGGAGAATATCCAAGAAAGTATCCGTAAGCTGCAGATGTGATGATAGTCCTTGATGTTGAGAAACAAGGTCAAACGATTTTGAAGAACACCGTTGGTATTGTGTAAAGCTTCCTATGATGGTGGAGACTATGTCAAGGGTGGCCAAGCTAGCTTGGCCAGTGGCAACACTGGACTGCTGGTGACAGTCTGACTAGTTAGCTGGACGGGACGACTGGTCTGCTGATTAGCGGGTCGCCCCAACTAACCAAAAGCAGACAATGGAACACAGACACAGCACTACATGTAAGGTGACAGGTATTTACACAACAAGCAACAAACACAAAACACTATTCCCAATATAGCTGCTGCTGCTGTCTTCCTGCTTCCTTGATAGCTTGATAATATTTAATTAATTAATTAAGATTGTCAACAAAGTATTGATGTGCATACTACCAGGTGTTTGTACTCATCCCAAGTCTTTTTGTAATTGCATATTGCCATGCCGTTGGAAATTGCTTTATGTTCCAGGTGTTAATGCATTCCTTTAAGATTGTTTTTAAAAATTTCTATTTTTTCTTTATTCAGGCTGTAGAGAATGAGTGCCCTTCATTAATAATTTTTACATTTCTCCTAAATTACCAAAGTTCCTTGTAAATTTGCAATTGCTGCCAACGCCATGTTTTCTTTTCTTTTTCTTACATCATGTTGATGTTCTTTAACTCTGGTTTTTAAATTTTTCCAAGTTACCCCAACATAAGCCATTTTTAAGATAAGCTCTTCATTAACTATTAGGATTCTGTATTTGCCTGCTTTAGTTTTTTCTGGAAGTGTTTTACAATAAATTAAATTTAATATAAAATTAGATATAAAATATATTTCAATATAAAATAAATTTATATCGATATTTAGTATTCGATATAAATTAGGAATCCATGTAGTTCCTGTTGTTTGGAAAGCTCCTCCATTATATGCCTGATCTCCTTTTGGTATGCAAACTTTGTACTAATTATCTCATTCGTTTTCTTTTTAGTGGTACTGATCTTGTTATAACAATTAATCAGACCCATAAACCATTTGTTAGAATATCCCAATTGGGAATTTTAATTTATTGTAAAAATTTGTTAACTATATTCTTGTTTTTCATGATGTTAATTCCATTAAAAAAATTTTTGAAGAAATGTTGATGTTAAGTTATTCCGAATTCAAACACTATTTATCTGATGAGGGCTCATCAGTAAAGCTGAAAAATGTTTAGTAAAGTGATTTAACTACCTCGGTGTTAAGGTGTGTTTGTATTTAGTTGAAAATAGGAGTTGGGTTATAATGGATTGCTGTTTATTTTATAAAAATGCTACAAAAATATATTATTTAGTTAATTTCAGGAAAATTTCTTATACAAAAACAATATTTCTATTAGCAAGGATTTTTTATGAGAATTGGTAAAGAAATTTATAATTTTTTCACACAAAATAACATTTTATGTTTATTCTCACATTGTTAAAAATTAAAATAGTACACCTATGGAGCAATATAATATAATTTTTCAAAAAATAAAAGAGATAACAATAGTTCATTACTGATTTATAATCATTTCTTTCTACAAATAATGCAATAATGTATCATTTCAAATAAAATAATAATTTGTTGTTACGCTTTATTAAAACAGTATATACAGTGATTATTGAAAGCTTCAAGAACTGAATTTCAAGTTAATAAAAATAACATTTATTCTACTATAATTAAATGTCCCCACACCACAATAGAAACCTTAAAATGCAGTATTTTCAAATGTTTTTGATCATCTTTTATCAACCTTCTACAGGATAAAATGGTGAATGAATGACTGTTTTTGCTTGAATGAACAGAACATAAACATATTTCTAGCAAATATAATTTAAATATTATGATTTTTGAACAAATCATTCAGAACGAGATTCAACGATCATTCAATGAAATAAATTACAGGAGCTAGAGTACATCAAAACATTTGACCATCAATTTGGTTTCAAGTCATGCATCATAATGTTTATGATTAAAAGATACAGGAATTTATAAGATACCGATTAAGGATAGTTGGCTATGCATGATTTATATTATATCACAAAGAGGTCACTGAGCACAAAGGTTAAAAGAGCACAAAGACAATTTTTATAAGGTTACATCAGTCACTGTCCCACAATTAAAATGCAAAATAAATCGATTAAATGTGTAAACCAAGTCAACTATTTAGGAGTAACAATAGACAACAAACTTTTCTGGAATGAACACCTAGAAACAATTAAGAAAAAAGCGGGTAACTTATTTCAAGAAATAGCGAAAGTAGCACGTAAAGAATGGAGTATAGGTGGAAGGGCTTTAACACATATTTATAAAGGTTCTGTAATCCCAATTGTTACATATGCTGCCCAAATTTGGGGGAAGAGGATGGAGTTGACACACATGAAACAGAAAATAAATAGCCTACAAAGAAAAATGCTATTAAGAATTACTGGAGCATACTGTACTACATCCCACGATTCACTCTGTGTACTGGCGGGCCTAATGCTTCTGGATTTGGAAATTCGACAGCATAGTGACACAA